ATGTAAGACAGATATCTCTTGTATCTGGGCTTTTTCTTTATTTGTCAATGGTATTTTATGTACGTAGCACATGACTGAACTTTGTGATGTACCACAATAAAAACATATTATTCGTGGGTTTTCTTTATGTTTTTGGATAAAACCACTGAATTTAAAATCTGCAAACTTTGCGACAGGCATTTTAAAAGATGTTTGACGTAAAAAAATATAAATAGATTTTAATTTTATTTCAACATGAAGTAGCTTCATATTAGAAAATGTAATTATTAAGATACCGGCTACAAACGCTTCATACCAGCGGCGTAGAGTGGCGGCAATACGAGGGTATTTACCAACACAACAAAGTTTTTTTCTTTTTTTTATTAAAGTCTTGAAGTTACAAAAATAAAAAATACAAAAAATGCAACAGGTAAAAAAAATCAAACCTTTTAAAAAAGAACTAAATTTAGGTAAAAAAAACGAAGTTGTGTGTTATATTTTAATTTTAAAATTAAGATCAATTTAGTATGCATATTTATTTAATTTATTACAGGAAATCTCAGTGACTTTTTTTTGACATTTTTTACAAATACCTCTCAATTTTTTAAAATATCCAGTACCGTACTAAAAATTTAATGTTCTTTTTTTTTGGTCAACTACTACTATTCTCGTCACATAAAAATCACAGGACCGGGCTTAGGGGTTGTTTGGGAAGGGATTGATGAGGTAAACGATGGAAAAGTTAGGTTAGGAGTGGGGGGGCGGGGGGTATTTTTTTCTACACAACATACAAAAACTGTACAAATATTTAATAGTATTATCGTTATTTTTTGTTAATAGTAATTTATTCCCGTTCAAATACTTCGTCGAATATCATATTTTTAGGTTTGTAATGGTATACTCGATAGTGAAATAAAAAATTAATATACAGGGTACCCCAAAATATTCAATTTAGGTGTTTTTTTTTCCAACATGCTAAAGAACTATAATTATTGAAAAAAAATGATTTATAGAGTTTTTTATTTAATTTGTACTGAAAACTAATGTTTTATATTAATCACCAATCACAGGCTTGTATTTCATTATGTTACTATTCTTTTCTGTCAACTAAAAAAAATCCGGAAATTTTAAAGTCAAAAAAACGATTGACGATTTGCTTCTCATAAATTCAGACACCCTGTATATTATGTGTTTGTAAAAAAAACTAAGTAGGCCTTGTGGAAAGAGTACTTTTTTCCTTTTTGTATCGAATACGAGGGATATAAGAAAATGAATTAAAAAAAATAATTTTTAAATGCATAACAATATCGAGGAATGTATATACTGAAAAAAAAATCAGAGCTGTATCAGTTAAAATTAAACAGTAAAAAATATTTATACAGGGTGATTTACGATTTGTAGTAGATCTACACGTTTGTGAAAAACGGATTTAAAAAAAATGTTGCTGTTTCGTTTGAGATACTAGATACTAGTGGCTTACTTTTTATTTGCTAAAAAAACACACTAAACACTTGACGAAACAAATTTCCGTTGCGTTTTTTTGCATCTGACTTTCATTTTTGTAATAAAAATGAGTTAGTTTTTTAGTTGAAACAGAAGATTAAAACATTCAGTATAATCCTGATTTAGTAACTATGTTTTGCATTGTATTTAGTCGTTGCTTTTTAAAAATATTTCATAATATTAATACACAAAAAACAGTAAATTTATTATTACCTTTTAAACCTTGTCGCTATTGTCCTACTTATAACATTTTTAATTTAATCTTATGAAATTTGGTTGTTAAAGAATACAAAAACAATCTAGGCTTGAAATTGACTTTTTTTCTCACATTTATAGAACAACAATATTAATATTAATATTTTTGAGAAAACGATTGGATAAGTTTTTAAAATTTCATATTTAAAATCTCAAATTTTCCAAACCTTATACAGGATGTCCCATTTTCGTGTGTATTACATTGTTTCTCGTTTATGAGTAGAGATACAAAGATGCAGTGTGCTACTTTTAATGCAACTAAAGATGCTACGCAAATATTTGTCCTAGATCTCTTAGTTCCTGTGAAATTGATTTATCTCTCGACTCCCCTCGTATATCGGTAACAAGCCAAATAAAACTTGAAAAAAATACACGGAGTGTCCCATTAAAAAAACACATAAATTTGGGTCATATTTCAAGAATGACAGCCCTAAGCAAAAAACTAGTTACACCACTGAATTCTAAGTGAACAACTCTACATGACTCAGTTATCAGCTTTTCGATAAGTTATAAGGTAACCGAGATACGAGGGGGTGTCGAAAAGAACATCAATTTCAAATTCGCCTTTTATTTAAAATAATGCCTAAAATAATGCAAGTAATGCGAAAACCGCATCTTTTTAGCTCTTCTCATAAACAAGAAATCCTGTAAAACACATGAAAATGAGACATTCTGTACAACCTATACAGGGTTGTTCACCACATACGACGCGGAGTATTGTATCTAAACGATTATATTTTTACAAATTGTAAGTTTTGGGTTTGTTGAAGGACTATTAGAGCTACAATTTAAAAATATTTTTACAAGACACAGAGTGGCCGAAATAAATAAAAAATATCAAAGTTGTATTTTTTTAAATAGAACACCCTGTATATTATTACGTTTTTAGTTTCTACGATTAAAATAAACGTAAATTTGATTAAGGTTTACCGCATTTTAATCTTACCGTTTTTGAAATATTTAGGCTTTTGTCAAAATACAGTAATAATTTTAATGCTTTATTTCTCCAGGAGTTTTAAGTTTTTATAACCAAATATTGTACTGAAGTATTTCTATTTACTAAATTTTGTGGTGCAATAATAAAAATTATACTATCTTATACAGAGCGTCTAAAAATTTATTTTAAAGTAATTTCTTTAATTTAAATGGAACACCCTGTATATTTTATGATAATCAGATGCACAATTTAATTGCCGATCAAATTATATTATATCATTTTTACCTATGTCTTCAGGTTTTTGTAGAAAATGCATTTTCTTATAATCTAGACCTCAATTATCAATATACCCATGGAATATTGACATTTTTGATTATTTTTAAAGATATTGTAATATAATAACAAATTTTTAAAGGGTACGGATACTAATATTGTCGCTATAGTTCATTTATGTCATTAAAAAATAAAAAAATTGTTTAAATATTTGTAAAAGAGGACCAATTAATATGATTCCAGCATTCAAACTACATTAATCGACTGTTTGCGTTGATTAATAATAATTGCTCCAAATACTAAAAAACTTAATTTTGTATGTGCATTAGACAGTGTGGTAAAAAGTAGCACCTTAAAAATGTTATTTCATTTTTTGCCGGATGCTTATTTATAACAACAGAGACATTCATTTTCATAACTTATTATTATATTGATTTCTGATTCCAAATCCACATTTATTTAGAATAATTTATTAACTAACACAATTAAATATGTAATTAATTAATATTTGGGCGGAAATAATGGTGGTATATGTAATTAATGGTATACTCTTTTATAAAGATTTAAATAGTTTTATTTTTGTAAACAAATAGGCTGGTAATATTATCGTTTTTAGCACCTGTAGATTTGTTGCTTTAAAAACAATCTAAAATGTCCATATTCCATGGGTATATTGATAAATGAGGCCTAAATTATAAGAAAATGCATTTTCTACGAAAACTTGAAGGGATAGGTAAAAGTGGTATAATACAATTTGATGGACAATTAAATTGTGCATCTGATTCTCCTAAAATATACAGGGTGATCCATTTAAATTAAACAAGTTATTGCCGTTTAAAGCTAGAAATTATTTGAAATAAATTTTTAGACACTCTGTATGAGGTAGTATTATTTTTATTATTGCAACACAATAACTGATCAATAATTAAACTTCAGTAAATATTTAGTATTAAAAACTTTGATACCCTTGGAGAAATGAAGCCTTAAAAATTATTAATGCAATTTCACAAAATTGAAAATATTTCAAAAACGATAAGGTTGAAGGGTGATAAACCTTAATCAAGTTTACCTTTATTTTAATCATAGAAACTAAAAATGTAATAATATACAGAGTGTTCCATTTAAAAAAATGCAACTTTATATTTTTTTATTTATTTGGGACACTCTGTATCTTGTAAAAATATTTTTAAATTGTAGCTTTAATAGTCCTTTAACGAACCCAAAACTTACAATTTGTAAAAATCTAATCGTTTAGCCACAATACTCCATGTCGTATGTGGTGAAAAACCCTGTATAAATATTTGATATTCTTAAAATAAATTTATAAAAAGCTGTTTTAAAATAATTATTATGATATTTTAAAATTCGAATTACCTATGTTTAGATACAGTTCTGTTCAAGAAATGTATAAATAAAATAAAAATAGTATACCGCTGTCACGCGAAAAAAATATGTTTGCGGACACGTAGAAAACTATTAATATAGGCCTGACGAAACATCATAGCAAACAAGGACTTCATAAAGCGAAAGAAAGATGTTATCGATTTTTTTTTCGACGTGTATCGATACTATTGCACATCACTACTACTTCACGAATCGATGTCACATAGACCGATGTTTTTTCCGTGCGATTTTAAGCCAGACATAAATGTATAACATACAAAAATATTTTTTCTACAAACCAAAGTATAAAAAAAAAAAATTTTGGATATATTACATTATCTTTAAAAAAATACGATTCTAAAGATAAATCAGTAGGAGAAAACAATAACAAAGATATCGATTTGTTGGTATCGATCATAAAAAATCGATTTTCTACATTCATATAATATAATATATATAATTTATATAAATATTTTTTGTCATAAGGGGGTTTTCAATTTTTTTTTCAACATTTTTTTACTTAGGTCGTTCTGAGTTCACTTTCATTTTTATTTAGGTCCTTTCGTCATGCAATGTTAATGCCAAATATAATATTTTCGGGTAAATATATAGTATAGATATTCGATTAATATAAACATACAAAAACGGTGGGGAAAGGGAATTTTTTCGGTTTGTGTAGAGATGGGCGATCGTATCGAACTTTTTTCTCCATATCGATCTTTTTACTTTTTTAAATGTCAGTTTTTTTTCTTTTTTATTCAGTATCGAGTGTATATTTATAATTATTATTGTCATTCGTATTCTCATTAGTTTTTTGACGTTATTCTTCTAAACCTTTAAAAAGTCGATTTTTTCTGACGGAAAAAAGTTCGATACGATGTGTATACACGGTTATTAGGACCACACATTTATCATCGCTTGATATAAATATATTAAGTGTGAGAGGGGTTTATTTTTTTTTATACCGTATTCTTAAATAATAAATATTATAGTAAACATTTTTTGTTGTATTTTTTTCAATTTTTTGTTATTTCTCGTATAACATTTTAGGGGACCACAGAACGGTGATATATTCTGACAAGGCTGCATCTCTAAAATTAAACAAGACATATACGGGGTATTCCTTTTGGAAAATGGTTTTCATTAAAATTCTAATGTTATTATAGATATCTTTCCGGATGAAAATCGTTTATAAAAGAAAAGTCAGTAGCGTACCATTTTTTTCTCCAAATATAAATATAATTTGAAGCATGGTCGAAGTTAATAAAATTGTTTGTACATCAAAAGAGACTTCTCGATGCATAGAAAACGTGTATGAAGTTTCATAAAGATATCGATAATAATATTAAAGTTATTATTAAAAAAAACCCACCCTGTATACCATTAAAAATAAAGAATTTCAACATTTATTAGATTTAAATGTAAGTTTGTATAAGGATGGGCGACCTTATCGAACTTTTTTATATCGACTTTATTTTTTTAGAGATGTTAGAAAGATAAGAGAATAGGACCGACTTTTACAGTGTTTAAACAAGGCATTATTTTGCTGTATATAAAATGATTTAGAGATATAGCCCTGCCGAAATACGTGTAACGTATAAATAAATGCAGTGTTTCCTTGTTCCTTCTCAACATTTCCGGTTTATCGACGAGTACACGCACATACATACTGTCCTAGTTCCGTTTTATCGTACAGGGTGTCCGTTTAAATCCCGCACGAACACACGAAGGGGGAAAAAAGAGGTTAGGTATCACAATTTTTCTCATAAGAGGACATCAGGGTAGAACGGGACTTCTTTTTCTGGTTTCTGACCACCAACCAGTCCATTTTTTCTATATTTTATAAATATATATCACGAAAATACACGGTCGGGTACGTTTAAAGGTAAAACAACAACAAGGTGGTTCGATTCTCACAAAAAACTATCGAGTTCATCGCCACTGCGCCAAAACTATCGCCACGCCCGTCGCAAGCATAATCACGCCTATCCGGGGCGGGGCCAGCCAACAGGTCCCGCCTCCCAGCGTCAGCTCCTCGCTCTTCACCACCTCGTTCGGGTGCTTGTTGTAGGCCTTGGACTTTTTCGTGGTAAGGGGCGTGGCTCTGGTAGCAGGCGGCGTGACTGGGGGTGGCGTCGGACGCTGCGGGGGCGGGGTTACGGGGTACCACGTGGGCCGCGGCGGTGGAGGGGTTTGAGGCGGAGCTGTGGGTGGTTGGGAGGGTGGGCCCCATACTTTGAAGACGATCTTCATGTTGTGGGTGGTGCAACGGCCGCCTATCCTCCTGTGGAGGTCGTCTGAGGTCGACGTGGAGATGAAATAGTAGTCGTGGCCTGGAATTAAAAAAAAATAGTGTTATATTATGTTGTATAAATTATTTTCTTTATTATTGTAATTATTTCGGTCTTTTTTTTTGTATAAATATATATGTCGCAGGCGAATCGAATAATCCGGCTTTTTCTTGATATAGACATTGAATTTAGTAACTGAAGTTATAATGAAAATAAAGAATATCTGGATCATTTTAAAGTTGTTAATGATTCGGCAGGGCGGGCGAGCTGTTGCAATATCAATGAGTATACAGGGCGAGTCTTTCCGTATTCTTAAATAATAAATAATATATAATATATGAGACGAGATATTGTTTCCAAATAGCAGATACCGATATATTAATTTTTCTTTCTAATAATAAGAAAAAAAAAAGAAAACTGAAAGGCGGAGGACCTTCCTATGAAAATAAAGAGCTCATATTTGGAGAGAATTTCTTTGAAGTGTCTACCAACTTTTTTTAAGAGCATAAAGAGAAAAAACATGCTTAAATTGGGGCCACAAAGAATAAAAAAAAAATATACTAGTTTTCCTTCTTATTTTTCCCTTTCAACGAATACTTTTACAAACGTACCTATATTTCCCATCGTCTTCGCTCGTCTGTTAGGCCATTTAATCGGGACGAACACGAACCTAAGTCGGCGTGTAATCGTACCGAAAAACGAACGAGACTCAGCTCTAAGTGGACATTTATTATTCCTTTAAACAAGTCACTGGCTTCAAAAGGTTCGCTCTCTCACTACACTTAACCGTCTTTTCCCCTGAACGGGGTTTCCCGGCAAAGAACGATCGCCGTATAGCTTTTCCACAGAGAAAGGGAAAAGCGGAAAAGCCATAGATATAAATTTCGTCTCGGAGTTTGACGTTTAATATTATCTCGTTCTATAGACATCGGGCAAAAGTTTTTCAGACAGAAAAGTAAAAGTTTGTAATATTCAGATTCAGTGCGGTCGTGTTTATTCTCTTCTTTTGTTTGTTATTGTTAGATTTTGAAATTATTTCACTGTAATTTTAGATATACATTTTTGAGACCTTTTCAGATCTGGTGTGGTCCGCAACTTGGAAACGAAACCCACCATATTATAGCTCTTATTGGCAATGACATTCTATTATTATTATTTATTCTATAGGTATACAGGGTGTACCAGGCTGAGCATGCATTAGAAGTTTATAGAGAACTACAATATCTAGATCGGAGATTTTTTGCACATCATTGTTTCACAACGAGATCTATCTATTAAAAATATTTCCTATATTATAAATACTGCCAGCCTTAAGAGTTTAAAAAGTGTATTTATAAAAACATATCTCCGTATTTTCGTTCTTTAGTGATATCTAATAGTTGATATTATTGATATTATTAATAATATAATCGAATTCGTAGGATCGAAAAAAAAAACGGCGCAAATTTGGCTTGGAAATGATGATCGATAACATACTGCTTTTTGAACAAAGTGTCACAATATGACATGGCCAGATCTATTGTTTTACATCACTTGACGTTTAGTCATAGGCTACTGATTAAAATCAAGAAAATATACCCTTTAAAACTAAATCTGAAATAACTTAAAAACGATTTATTTTAGGTATAGAAAAATATATACTCAAAAAGTAACGAATTGGAAAACCTTTTCACTAGTGAAATAAAAAAAGTGAGTTTCCATTCGAAAAAAAAATATTTATGCTTAATCGCTTAATTCCTTGACAGCTACGGCCAATATTAAATAACATTAGAGCAATTGAATCTTTGAAATAGATAGCCACTGTTACATAAAGAGAAGACAGTCCTTATGTCAAAATGGCTGCGATAATCGCTAAATTTGACGTTTAGGATATACACATTTTTTTGACAGGCAGTTTTTTTCCTCCAAAAATTTTAAATATTTTTTTTTCTCAAAAACAGGTAATATTAACTACAGAGTGTTTGATATCAAAATTCATAAAATTTTACAGAGAATTTAAGTATGTAATAAAAAATGGGGGTACCCATTTAAAATAAGAAAGTTGCTGTCAACTTTATTGAAAATATTTTTAATCGATAGAACTCGTTGTGAAACAATAATGTGCAAAAAATATCCGATCTACATATTTTAGTTCTCTAGAAACTTCTAATGCACGCTCAGTCTGGGACACCCTGTATTTAGTTCTCATTGTCAATGACATTATTTATTCTATAGGTATATAAAAAGCAATAACCTAAATATATTTCGATATAATAGATTAATTTAAGCCCATTCTCAGAACAAGACTCCCCCGCACCTTTTTGATGAATTTTTAATGACCTCTCCCCTTAATCCCCACTCGTAACCAACGACAGTGTCGTCTTGGTTACTTGCTCCAAGGGGTAGCTGACAGTAGAGGGGAGGACAAAACGAAGAAGGCACGAGGGTTGACAGCGGCACAACGTTGGAGGTTTGGGATAAACGATGAACTAACTGTGCAGGAGAGGGGGAGAATTCGAGACATAGGGCGAAGGGGAGATGGTGAGCGGGAAAATAGGGGGGAAGGGATGGTAAGGGAAAGCCCTTATCGATCCGAGCAAGGTCTGTAAACAATTGGAGGTGAGTGAATGGCATGCAGACACGTGCGATTTTTTTCGGTAAAAACAAGGTGTATTTTAAGTATGTACGTATATGCCGTATAGGGTTTATTGATTATTCTTTGCTTTCTGGAGGGTTTAATTTCGCGGTGTCTACGGTTACTGTGACGGAATTTTATACTTCGGGTATAAAATTCGTTCCAAGATTGCATTTTAATTTTAAATCTTAAACACCCTTTTTTCAATTATTTGTCGTCAAAAATAAAGTTAACTGTATAAAAGTTCTTTGTAACTAAATAGAATAGTTTCAAAATATTTGCAAATTATTATTTTCCCATAATTTTTTGTTCGATATCGATACTTTTTTTCGAGTTTTTATCAAGACGACCGCAGAAAGTACTAAAAAGACACGGAATTGTTTGACAGGAACGAAAAACACATGTTAGAGATGTACACACGTATCGATATATTTTTGATCGATATCGATATTTTCGATTGAATTTTTATTTCAAGGCGACAGAGGAGGGTTGAAATGGAAAATACACAGAAATATTCATTTTTCGAAGAAAAATACGCATGCTAGAGGTATCGATATATTTTTGTTCGATATCGATATTTTTGATTGAATTTTGATTTTAAGCAGATGAGGAAGGCAGCGAAAAAGCCAGGAATATATTAATTTTTCGAAGAAAAATACGTAGGTATGTTAAAGATGTTGATATATTTTTGTTCGATATCGATATTTTCAATTGAAAATTTTATTTTAAGACAGCAGAGGAAGTCACTGGAAAATACACGAAAATATTCATTCTTTGAAGAAAAATACGCACGTTAGAGATATCGATATAGATATTTTCAATTAAATTTTTATTTTAAGGCGGCTAAAGAAGACACTGAAATAGACATGAAAATATTAATTTTCGAAAAAAAAACGCATGTTAGAGATATCGATATATTTCTGTTTGATATCGATATTTTCAATTGAATTTTTATTTTAAGATGGCTGAGGAAGACGTTGGAAAAGACACCGAAATTTTCATTTTTCGAAGAAAAATACCCATGTTGGAGATATATTTTCTTGAATATCGATATTTTCTATTAAAAGTTTATTTTTTAAGACGCGACCGAGGAAGCTACTGGAAAAGTAACGGAACTATAATAAACGCAAAAAATGTTGAAACATAATTTGGGGCTTTACAGGGTGTAAGAAATGTTAAACATAGACGATATACATATTCTTTAAATAAAACACCTTTGAAAAAAGGTTCCATCGTAAAATCTAATTAAGTTAGACAGGTAGGTACGTCGATATTTCAAAACCCGGCCTGTCATTATGACAGTGGTACCGTCACCGAACAAACGGTAGGAATATTTTAGATATTACGAATACCGACAGGCCAAATGCGACCACAGGTCTCAGACAACGGTCGAGAATTCGTGTAAAAACGGGTTTTCGACTCGCATTTACATAGATCCGGAATTATTTTTCGGTTTTATCCTGATGTCCATCTCTCGGCTCGGCGCGCCGCCTTATTTATTATTTCCGATGGCTAGATACATTTTAAAATGGGGGCTAAGCCGAAGCGGCGACAGCCAAGGCAGACGGTTATAGGCCGTGAAAATGCCACGGGAATGTTCGCATCGCTCGAATTCACCGAAAAAAAAAAACATATCTTAGGGATGTACTCCCGTATCGATAATTTTTTGGTTCGATATCGATATTTTCTGTTCGATATTTTTTCAAGGCGCCAGGAGAAGGCAGTGGGGAAGCCGTCCATGCACGGATTTATTTTGTACACGTATCTATATATTTTTTATTCGATATCGATATTTTCGATTCGAGTTTTTTTCAAGACGAACAGAAGGCACTGCAAAAGCCGCAAAATTGTTCAAGCAGGGAGGAAAAAGCATGTTACAGGTGTACACACGTATCGATATATTTTTGTTCGATATCGATATTTTATATTAGGTAGTTTTTTTTCAATGTAACAGGGGAAGGACACTGGAAAAGAAAGATATCGATATCTTCTATTACAGTTTTTTAAGACCAGTGTGAAAGGTATTAGAAAAGCTACGAAAATTCGAATTTACAAAAAATAAAAATATACATGTTAGAGATGTAGATCCATCGATATTTTTTTTGTTGGATATCAAATATCAATATGTTTTATTATTATTTCTATGCGATGCGAACATTCAAGTGAAAATGCCACGGGAATGTTCGGATCGGTCGAAAAATCATACAAAAAAATAAATATATCTTCGGGATTTAGGGATATACTAGAGTATCGAACATTTTATTTTCGATATCGATATTTTTGATTCGAGTTTTTTTTTTCAAAGCGACTGCAGATCTAAAAGATATTTTATAGATGTCACGTAACGATATTTTTTTTCGATATCGATATTTTACATTAGGGTCTCTTTTTCAAGATGACTTGGGAAGGTACTGGAAAAGCCCCGAAATGCCTCAGAGTGTTCGTACTTGAATTTACAGGAAAGAAAAACGCCTGTTAGAGGTATACGCAGGTATTGATATATTTTTGTTCGATATCGATATTTTCGATTCGATTTTTTTTTCAAAGCAACTGCAGAAGATAACAAAATTGTCCGGACAAGGACAAAAGCATATTAGAGATGTAGGTACAGACGTATCGATATTTATATTTTTGTTCGATATCGATTGAATAATACTACAACTTTCTTTTTCAAGGCGACAGAGAAAAGTACTGGAAAAGAAGAAAAGAAAGACACGGAAATGTTCGCATTTGAATTTACAGGAAAGACAAATACGCATGTTAGAGATATACGCATGTATCGATATATTTATTATTTTTTTCGTTATCGATATATTATATTAGGGTCTCTTTTTCAAGATGACTTGGGAAGGTATTGGAAAAGCTACGAAAATGCCTCAAATAGTGTTCGCACTCGAATTTACAGGAAAGAAAAAAATGCCTGTTAGATATGTACACGTATCTATATCGATAAATCGATACACTTTTGTTCGATATTAATATTTTCTATTAGAATTTGTTTTCAAGACGACCAAAAAAGGTACATACTTGAAAAGCCGCAAAAATGTTCGCGTACAAATATACAGGAAAGAAAAGTGTTAGAGATGTACACGCGTATATTGTTTGTTCGATGTCGATATTCATTCCTAATAAATAAATATTATTTATTAAGATTTTTTTAGTAAATAAGTTAAAAAAGTGGCGAAAGCGTTTTTCTATTACATCTTGTTTGCAGATTTTGGGTACATTCGTCTTGCATAGTTTTTTCTGTTTATATTATTGTGCTTGAGTCTACAACAGAATGCAACATAAATATGTCAGAAAAAATCCAAACTATAAAAACTATCCTTTTTATTTTTTCCTAGTATCTCATAATGACATACATATATGAAATGCATGGTATCTATGTCGGAGATAAAGATCAAGCTACATTTAGTGGTTAATTACGGTATGTATAATGAACAGTACCAAGGTCTGATTATGGGATTGTTTGCTAGATCATTTACATGAATTCTCAACTCACTTGAAACTAATTTGCTCTTAAGCAAAAATAATTATTTTAAATTTAAGTAAGTGTAAACGAATGGGTATTCAAACGAAAGACACAATTGACTAGCCATAAAAATAACATGACAGAAGATCATGACCAAGAAAGTGTGGCAATAAGAAAAATTAGGGATCTTAAAAATCTTAAAGCTTCATTCAGAACCTGGCAATTAGTGGAATAAATTAGTGGTTTTGATTAGCGTAGAAGTTTGTTCCTTTAATTTCAATGTAAGGATTCAGAATTAGACATCAGACAATCTTTAAGGCTATCGGATGACTCAAATGTTCTACAAGCAGAGGTTTACGTCACAAAGGAAGCGGCTAGTTGTATACGAGAGAAAATGCTGATAGACCAATAGGGAATATAGTGATATACTCTGACAGCTGGGCCGCTTTAAGAAGCATTACCATGCAGTTAGTGAGATCGAAAACTGTGATGGAATGCCGAGAAGCACTGTCCTGGCTGCGTCGTAGGGGGCGGGACTACTCTGTGCTGGGTGCCAGGCCACAGCAATGGTGGTGGGTAATCAGCAAGCAGACAGACTCGCCAAAGATGGGGCCAGGGGAGAGGCCGTGGCAGGTGACCCACCACTTGTGACGATCAACACACTGAAGGAACTAGGATCAACACACTGAAGGAACTGATAGGAACTGCCATCAAGGCCAAGCAGCAAGAGACGTGGCAACACCGTGAGGACTGCGCTACAGCTCGAAGACTATGGCCAGTGCTAGATAGCAAAAAGATAAAACGACTACTAGAGCACAAAAAGGACCTAGTACGCATAATTGTAGGTGTCCTCACTGGAAACTGTCCCACGGGGGTAAACCTCGTGAGACGGAAGATTTCCAATGACGACTACTGCAGAGAATGCGGAGAGGAAGAAGAAACCATAGAGCACCTGCTGTGCCACTGTCCGGCACTGGAATACCGACGCTTTAAAACTTTAGGGCAAGGTTTTTTGGAGGGACTAGAGGAAGCAGCAGAAGCCAACATCAGCGACATCAGGAACTTTGCAAAGAGCTGGAAGTGCTTTAACGCAAAGAAAGAATGAGAGGAAGGTTTGACACAACAATAACAGGGGTATCGCAATGGGCCCAAGTCCTCCGAGCGGGTTAGGGTTGGGTTAGGGATGCTGGGGTTTGGGATCAAACATGATCCCAAAGAGAAATTGTAGTTAGAAATCAAAAGATGATTGTTTTATACGCTAAATATTAGGCTTTCTCTATGGATACAACTGACTAACGTACTGTTGCTAGGATATTCTATTAGTTTTAATTGTGTTTTCTAAACCTTGTGAATGATCGTAAACTAAAAAGTATAAAGTGTAATTAAAACCACTAATTTATTCCACAAATTTCGAGGTTCTGAATGAAGCTTAATACTTGCTACCAAATGATCTACGAATTGTTTCCGATCGATAATAACTAGTTTTGCTTTATTTTTATAAGTTTTAATCCATATCTCTATAATAACAACTCACCTGGTAGAAATTCCAGGCCACCAGGTTGCGGCGTGAACGGCCTGAACGTGATCGTGAAGTACATGAGCTTGTAGGGCTTGTCGCACACGGCGATAATCCGCGGATTCGGATTCGTTATCCGACACGTCTCGTACTCGTCCTTGGACACGTTGTAGATGATGTACTTCTCCATCTCGTCGTCGTCCCGCGTGTTGGGCGTGTACACCGGACAGATCAGGTTCACCTGGAAAAAGGGCAATAATTGGTATTGAAGTAAAAAAGAGTAACAGAAAGTAAGGTAGGCAACTAAATATACATTGAATATTAAACGCCGGCTTTTTAAACCAAAGAAATATTTTTTACAAAAAACCTATCTATTTTCAGTCGCTTTGCAAAAAGCCTAATCACAATTAGATAAACAGGATCGGTCATAAAGTTGTGTCACATCAAACTTTATTTTTTTTTAATGAAACCTCCTGTACAGGATGTCTCATTTTGGTTGAAATCATACGGTATCTCCGTTATTAGTGAAGATAGAAGGGTGCGGTTTGCACAAACCTGTCTCACTTTTTTGTCAAACGGAAGATGCCGTAAACAAAATTTTCATAGCCCTTTTCGTTTCCGAGCTACCGGGTCTTTTTGAAAGTTTTGCAATTTGGGTCACCTCCTGTATCTCTATTATTGTTAAAGCTATCGAGAAGGTGAAAACTGTTTATTGTAGAACTTTTTACGTAGAATACAGTGGCGTAGTCTGTTTTCTACAAAAAAATATTTTTGAAAATATGAACTAAAGTTATGTTTTTTAAATGGATCACCCTGTATATTTATAAATCATATGATCTGTCTTGGCATAAGCTTCTCAAAAATACATATCACTCTATATTTATTTTCACTATTTACTGCAATATTTAAAAGTTTTTATTAAAAGATCATATTTATTAGTAGGCCATGATTGATAATAAAAGAATCTAAAGAATTATTAAAAGTATACTGCTATCTGTCTTTTGTTTTATTTTGGGAGCCGCTAATAAATTCTTTATATATTAGGGAAACTTAAGTCTCTACCGCTATTTGTAAATCTTGGAATACGTGTATACGTAAGACTAATCTATCGTATCGGAAATTTTAGATATTCCTTTAGCTAATTTACGTCAAATATACTTTCAGCAAGATGGGGAACATTCCCCACATAACTATGGAAATATTAGAATACTGTTAAATTATTATTTTTCAAATCAATGAATTGGAACCAATGAACACATATTGATAGCCTCCTCGATTCCCGGATTTCGTCGTTCTCGATTTCTGATTTTGGGGATTTTCGAAATACGAAATATATCGTGGGCACTACAACAATTTCGAACACCTGAAAAATGCTTTAATAATTCAAGATTTAGATATTTGCACACCCATCCCGTTATAAAAAAAGAAAAATATATTCACAGTTTCAGTGGTAACAGTTATTTCGAAAGTAAAATATATCAATCCCAAATAAATTTTAATATGTGTATGACTATTTTAGTAAATACCATTTTGATTTTTTGTTATTTATCACGGCCTACTAATAAGAAAATGATATATTTTAAATATTGCAGTAAATAGTAAAAATAAATATAGAGTGATATATATTTTTGAGAAGCTCATAGCAAGACAGATCATATGATTTATAAATATACAGGGTGTTCCGTTTGAAAAAACATAACTTTAGTTCATATTTTCAAAAATATTTTTTTGGTAGAAAAACAGACTACGCCACTGTATTCTACGTAAAAAGTTCTACAATAAGCAGTTTTCGCCTTCTCGATACCTTTAACAATAACGGAGATACAAGGGGTGTCCCAAATTGCAAAATTTTCGAAAAGACCCTGTAGCTCAGAAATGAAGAGGGCTATGAAAATTTTGTTTACGGCATCTTCAGTTTGACGAAAAAGCGGGACAGGTTTGTGCAAACCGTACCGTTCTATCTTCACTAATAATGGAGATACCCTATGATTTCAACCAAAATGGGACACACTGTACATTATTGCATATTTCGGTTCTTCCTTCAATTCTCAGCAAAAATCGAAATACCTATATTTAGGTACCTACATACAATGTACCTCAACCCAACCATTTCCGAGTTCTTGACTTTTGAAAATATCACTTAAACAATTTGATTTAATTAATTTCGGTATGTTCAGTTTCATTTAACGATTCTGTCGAAACTGTAATACTTAATAATACGTGAGATTAGTTCTTAAGTTAGCATTTATAGATGTATACAATGAGAGTATATCAAGTTTGGAAATTACAAAATTTTCGTTTAACATTTCAATTCTTCAATTTATGTACATTGTGTATTTCGATTATTGCTTAAAATTGAAGAAATAATTGAAATATGCAATAATATACAGGGGGTTTTATTTAAAAAAGATAAAGTTTGATGTGCCGCAACTTTATGACCGACCCTGTATAATTGCCGAGTTCAGCGCTTATCACAGTTCACGTGAACTCGAGTTTAAACTATGTTTGTACAATCGGGCCTAAATATAACAATTTTAGTGAAAAAAAAACACAAAAAAAGTTTGGTCACAAAGCAGACAAAGCCTCTCAATTTGACCTACTACTCCACTGACAAACAAATCACACAAAAGCCCAGCAGAAGTATTTAATATTTCAGGACGCGTCCGGCCTGATGACTGTGTCCTTTCGCACACAAATGCGTCCGCACGCACGATAATCGGCCGTGTCCGGCATACCGATGAGGCTACGGCACGTGCCACTCTGTTCCCTCGCAGGTGAGAGAGGATGACTAGCGTCGCGACGTCTGCAGGGAAAAAAAGAGAAAAATGCGGCGTCTTAAAGAGAAAGAAGAAAATCTGACGGAATATTAACCTAAAGGCGGGTTCTCACTTGTCAGTTTCGCTGACGCAGTCTGACTGATTCATTATCAATGAAAAATAAAAATCAACGATTGTATTCACACGTTTCATGTTTTGCTACATTCAGTATTCAGTTGGTCCAAACATTTTAACGTGGTGATTTCGCAGACACGAAAATGGTTAAAACAAAATTGAAACCAGGTGTTCGCGAAGTTTGTTTACAATTAGCAAATGAATTACAGAATATTCTGGTGAATCAGAGAAAGAAGAAAACGTTTTTTTAAAGCAGATACGTCTACAAGAAACCGTTGACGTTCTATTTTAACAGAACGTCAACGGTTTCTTGTAGACGTATCTGCTTTAAAAAGCGTGTTCTCATAATAGTTTGAATTTAAATATTTTAAATACTTTTTTCTTTATTCTTTGAATTTTTTTTTGCTCCGACGATAGACTTTCCGAAACGTTAAGCATTTTTTTCTTTGTTAAGCCAATTTGTATAACTGTAAACATAACTTCTGACAAGCAGTGTCCGTTTAGGTTTAACGCAGAAGTGTTTAAAAAAATAACTATTTTATTTTGTAGATTTTCTTGCAGTGCAGTGGCGAAATACCCATAAAGGATTTTTTTGCAGATATATATTAAAATAATTAATTAACTATAACTTGTAAACTGAACAAATCACGAAAATGTAGTTCTCACGCTTCAGTTTCTATTCATTATTCGATAATGATCAGTCAAAAATGAAAAAAGTAGAACTGGTTTTCACTTTAACTGAAAGTACGAATTTACTGATCATTTAACATGAAAATGTGTTCTGATGTTCATTATTTGTTCAGTATCACTGAATCAGTCAGACTGCGTCAGCGAAACTGACAAGTGAGAACCCGCCTTAACCTAATAGCCTAAGAGCTGACGACATATTTAGAGAACATATTTTAGGCAAGCTAGAATAACTAAAAATGTATAGTTTATTAACTGGTGAACCCAGAATCCTAAGTCTGGCTGGGGGGTTGGGGGTATTTCGCTACTGCGCAACCCATAACAATTGCAAAAAAATAAATCCAAAAAACATTCTTTAGGCAACTTGAAATTTGTTTATTCTTAAATTTTAGCATCTATTTAACCTAGAAATAAGTATGCCAGACTTTTTTTTCGGGTTTAAAGTGTAACCAGACCAATCCAAATATGCTTAATTATTATACCTGGAAAACATACATTAGGCATTCTAAAATTTTTACAGCGTGTTTATTAGATGATATTAAAAAATATGTGTTAATTGCCAGACGAATTCAATGGGATTTAATACTTGCCAGACGTGAATAAAGATTTTAAATGAGCGCGATAAGAAAGTCTTATGAGTATCTATAAGCGCGAGAAAGATATAGTTTATTGAGACCCGGCGGTAACAGCATTTTGGAGTCGTAAAAACTTAAAAAAAAACTAACTAATATTGAATAAATAAAAAGAAACATTTTTTAAAGAAGCAAAAATGTATGATTAAAATCCTTTCAATAAGAAGCCTTTTTAATTTAAGTATTTTGTATCTGAAAGAATAAAAAGACGAATAATTATTTAAAAATTTGAATAAAATAATATATATTTTTTTCAAACGTCACAAAAGTATAATTATTATTATACTTTTGTGTGACATATTATATTATTATTAATTTTTGCAACCTGATTGACAATATAAAAAGTCATTTTAACGCATAAGCATAAAAGTAAAGCACTTTTACTTACTTTTGAATCTACTTAGAAAGATTAACAATGGTAGGTACTTTAATAAAATTCCAGAATACTTATTTTTTTAGCACCGTACATAGTACCCTTTTGTCGGGACTACGTTTTCTGGTAAAACCACTTCTTTAAATTTTAAACCATGTTGTTGGCGCACTCTTAAAAATTCTTTGCATTTTTGTAGTCTGCCTTCATCAAAAACAATAACTTTGTCACTAGTAACTTTTTTACAAACTACACAACTTAAATGTGTTTTATCCATTGTGATTTAGTAGTTAGTAGCGAAATTAGTAGTTACTAAAATATTTATTTGCAGTAATTATTCTAAACTGATATATAAACACTATGAACGTCAATATTTAATTTATAAATACATATTTGTACATGGTAACTTAATTCCAACAAAATAATCTCTGAATTAAAAGCCTGCAAATAATTGAAATGAAACCGAAAAAAAAATTGTTTTTATGAAAATTTGAAGTATACATACTCCAAAATACCGTTACGTCAGCCGCATCGGCTGCCGACGGGTCTCAATAAACTATCTTTCTCGCGCTTATAGATACTCATAAGACTTTTTTGTCGCGCTCATTTAAAATCTTTATTCGCGTCTGGCAAGTATTAAATCCCATTGAATTCGTCTGGC